ATTTTCTTCATAATAAATAAGCTCACACACATTTTCATACATTTTAAGCCATTTATTTCCTTTTTACCAGAGATGCTTATGCATGTCCTTTACTTTTTTTTTTTCTATTATGTTTTTTGGTATTTGTCTTATCAGCTTGTAAGCACTCTTTGTATTATTAAGGAAATTGGTCCTTTGTCTTGTGTGTTGTAAATATGCTTTCCCATAATGGGCAGGGGCAACCATTTAGAGGGGGTTCAAGATAAGCACAGTACAACTCAGTGGGTTCAGACCACAGCTGCCTTTAGTACCACATCTCTCGCCTCCTGCCTACTGGATGTAAACAAGTCCTTACCTTCTCATTCACAACAGCTTAGCAAAGAAGATCTAATTGAAGTGCAAGGAAAAGGGAGCATTGGACAGTCACCATGGAAACTGCCCCTCCCACAGCATTTACCATCCAAAGGTTTCTACAGGCATTCATGTACAACAAATTAGCAGAAGAAAGATTTCCAGACATACAACTTAATTTTGAATTCAGTATGAAGGTGCTTAAGAGGCAAAAAGAGTGCCTGTTGTTTCTTCAGGGAGATTACTAGCAAAAGAATTGTCTTCAGCTCCAGCTTCTGTGGCAGGATAATTCGTTGCGACATTAGAGTATATTTTGTTTTTGCTGTAATTTTCTTTCCTTCCTCATCCTCTGCTGATGGTTACTGTTTCATAGTGTTAGCTGGCTACAGGAGTGGTTTACATTGCTGGGCAAAGCAGAAGCTCCTTAAAGACCATGTCTCATCTTTTAGTGGAAGTCCAAGCTCACGCTGGTAGTCAAGCTGGAAATCTGGGTGTGGTGGGGAAGCTGGGTACAACTCAGTTCTCCTTAGAGGCCACACGAGGAGTTAGTGAAAGCAGGAGAAGTTCTCCAAGGATGAAGACTGTTGCACACCACTGGAAACATACAGGGTGGTGGCGGAACATGATCAGTGACAGCCAGCTTGCTGAGAGAACCAGAGCATCAGTCACTTGGATTCCCAGTTCCAATAAATCCCACTATGATGGAAGAAAAGACAAGTGGCCTGTCACTTCCAAGGGATCATATTTCTAAGACACTGGACACCTCGACCCTAATCACTGTGGCCCAAGGATTGTCAGTGTCTCTCAGTATTCGATCTTGGTATATATGATTGTCCTTGTGGTAGATAAGGGTGGCCAGGGGAATGTTAATTTACTGATAATGAATTTTCCACCATTTTGATTCACTGGCAGCTCAAAATTATATTTAACTTTTAATAAGTAAAATTAATACTATATGTCTTTGGGCTACTATTTTAGGAAGTCTCAGCCAATTCAGCCTCAGTAAAGCCACCATAAAAGGGCACATCGGTGACAAAGCTTTTGTTTTCCCTTGGTATTACTGGAGAATTGCTTCCCTGACTCCATTGGATGCCAAAATTTTTAGACATTAAGATGCCATTAATTTTTAGACTTGTAGAAAATACAAGTATCTTTGTATAAAGTAACAGTATTTGCATAAAACCTATGCATATCCTTTTATATACCACTTTAAATAATTTCTGTATTACTCATTATGCACAACAAAATAGTTATACTTAACCATTTAGGGAATAATGACAAGAAAGGGAACTATATTCCTTGTGATTTCCCATTGGATCAATATTACCTAAGCAATAATACCTGTAAACTTATTGATTAATTGATTACAGTTCTGTCCTGCCTTGCCTCATAGTTTTGCTCAATAAACACCTTTGAGAAGGTGGGTTGGTGGGGAACCCATCTTCTGGGCACTCTGCTATCCCTCTTAGAAGCTTTCTTCACAATAAATTCTTCCTACTCTTAAAATACAAAGAAGAAAGAAAGAAAAGAAAACTACACATGATCAGTAGAGGTACAATTAATTTTTTTCAAATACTTATTATGATTTGAGATTGGTTGAATTCACAGATGTGAAACCCACTGATCCATAAGGCCTACAGTACTTACGAATGCGTAAATTTCACTTTATTTAAATTTATTTCCATGATATTATAGCATTTTATGGGAAAACAAAGGTTTCCCAAAAGGCACTTTGGTTATAGTTTTTTATTAGTGGGAAATAAAGCATTAAACATTTTAAGGTCTCACAGTCACATTAGAGCCAATGAATTTCTAAATCAGGCAAGACGTGGGTGATTCTCTACTGCCCTCCAGTGGGAAAGCCAGAGACAGGCGCACACATTTCTACAACAGAGAATGTTTTAGATTGATTCCAATACTGGCATGCCAAAAAACAGAAAGGGTTAAAAGAACTGAGATAAAAGGTTGCTGGATGAGGTTGCTGGGTGCATGTCTGTAATCCCAGCACTCGGGAGGCTGAGCAAGCAGGATCCCCGTGAGTTTGAGGCCAGCCTGGGCTACAGTGAGTTCAAGATCAGCCTGAACTAGACAGTGAGGCCCTATCTCAAAAACGAAAGAACTGAAGGCTATTTTCTTCCCAACGATTTCAGAAATAAATGAACTTTTGAATGGTAAGTTATTCAGCACTATGACTTATCACTTGGAAAGGAAAATGCAAAGACTACTTAAAATAGGTCTTTTTGACAAGAAAAAAAACAGCATGCAATTTTGGCATAAATATCTTCACCACTGAGTCTCTGTATTTAATTACACGACCATTACTTTTGCATAACTATTGAATGATAACCTTATAAGTCTATTATGTATCATAAAATATTATTTCTTACCAGAAGATCATTAAAGAATTACAAGGAAATTATGTAATTTCCTTATAACTTAAATCCATGTGAAGCCAGGTGTGATGGCACATACCTGTAATTCCAGCACTCAGGAGGCCGAGGGAACAGGATCACTGTGATCAACTTTTCCATGAATCTGATTGATATCTACGATAGGTTTGCATTAAAAAGTTTATCTGATGCCTTAAACTGATGAGTAAGAAAAAGTTTATCTGGCACTTCTACATTACCTAAAAAAAGATGTGCTTAAAAATTTTTTTTTAAAAAAAAGAGGTGCTTTTAAAAATCCATCTTTAAAGTATCCAAATGAGTAATCACTAGCAGACAGTGGTGGTTGCAAACCAAGGCTATATATGATTTTGTGTTTTAAAACAAAATTTCAAAATACGTGAATTCATCTTTTAAGAAAAAAGATTCACATTTTCCCTTTGGTGAACCAGATAGGAAGTCCACAGCAGGGATATATAACCATAGTGCATGTGCCTTGAGCTCCATGCAGCCCTGCAAGACCCTAAATCTGCTGGGCAGCGCTCCAGCAAGGTGCTGAGTAGGAGAGTACACAGGACAGTGCTGACTCTACTTCCGGTGCCCACCGCACAGTCAACCAGAAACTCTCACATCTTGGACATTACATGTGTTTGTGTAACTTGACCAGTAAAATGCAGGATTGCCGCTAAAAGTATTTCGGCTTACCTTCAGCTATGTGTGCCTGAGAAGATAAGTACTTACTGTTACGAAGCAGACACAAGTTTTCTTATTTAATTATTATACTTAGGTTGGCATTATTTTAATATTATAATAGAAAATATTTTAAAACAAAGCTTTGTAATTCACATATATTAATGGTATGTTCTATAAGGCAACCCTAAAAGTTGACAGCCAGGGTCCACAACATGGTACAAAGACCTCTTAGGGTACTTTCATTTTGTTCACAAACTGATTGGACATGGGGCCAGAAATATAAAGACCAAGACAATCTGTGAAAACGCCTTAACGGGTTGCAAGCCTCTTCTAGGCCATAAAGGCAAGAGGCAAGAATAACAGGAAATCTCAAGCTGATCTGAAAGCTTTTAAAAGTGATGGCGCCAACATTACCTAAAACGTCTGAGACAGTCTGTCCTAGGAAATCACAACACTTCAGCAATGTCTCCAGGCAAGGTGATCATTAAAACTAATACCTAACATATATAGAATACTTTCTACTTAATGGTATTAGGTAGTGTTAACATTGCCTCATTTAACTTTATAAAATTCATGTGAAGCCGGGCGTGATGGCACATACCTGTAATCCCAGCACTCAGGAGGCCGAGGCAGCAGGATCATTGTGAGTTGGGGATAAGCCTGGGCTACAAAGTGGGTTCAAAACCAGCCTGAACTGCCGCAGAGTGGAACTCTGGCTTAAAAAGAAAAACACATCCATGTGAGACAGGGAGATCCATATGAGACATTGTACAAATAAACTGAAGTTCATTAATTTACATAATTAACTGGCAAAGGGACAGAACAACCTGTAGAACAAAATCAAACAAGTAAAAATAAGATTAATTTAGCAGAGGTCTTCTAGAATTCTCACATTTTGAACTCACTGCATCTCTAGTATCCATGAAGGACTTTTTAGGTTGTTAAACTTTTTTTCACGTATTTCACCCAGGAATGCTTAAACAATCTTAAGCCTCAAAGAAAACAGCTACCAGGTGCTCAGTATTTCGTGTGAAAAGCTTTAATATGTCTGTTAAGACCTGGGGGTCTCAGACAAATGATGTGTCTTCCCAAATGCAAAGGCTGACTGACGACCTGAGTCCAAGGTGTGTATGGAAGACAGACTTAAGAGAACTCCAAAGGCACATTACCATCACTAAGCACTGGGTGGGACTTGGGACAGGTTTTACAGACTCACCCCAGTACCCCTAACTGATGGGTATAGAAATGAAAATACGAATCCTCAGCAAAGGATGACACACTTTCTGTGTTGCTTAGGGATCTCCGCATAGTCTTCAAAAGCTGAAAACAAGCATTATCAATTCTTTCAACACTTGCTTTCCGAAGACGTGGGAGGTGCTAGGTTAAGCAGCACAAGCTGGTAGGTTTAGGGTCACCCACACGGAGCCAGATCACAAGTGCTCTCTTGGCTCTGACGAGCGGCCCTACCTCCATTAGCTTTACACACGCACTACCGTCTTGTTCACAGCAGCATCTACCCCATCACCGGCCACAGCCAACAAGCCGCACCCGGAGGGCACAGCCCACCTCCCATCAACCACCCCACCCGCCCCAGCGCTACCGGAAGGGGCGGGACATCCGGCCGGGCCGGCCTTCTTCCGGAAGTGACGTAGCAGTGTCAACATGCAAGATGGCGGTCCATCACCGGCAGAACACGGCCGGGCGGAGGAAAGTCCAGGTATGGGAGCCCAGTTCCTCGGCCTTCTGGTCGCGGCCAGCAGCCCCGGGGCCACCTCCAGAGGACCGATGCTTCAGGCCGCGACCAGCTAAGGGGGCGCTTTGAAACAGGCGCGGCGGGGCGCGGCCGGCGGGGAGGGGTGGGGCCGCGGCGGTAAGAGCTCGAGATGGGGGCCGGGGCCGGGGGCCGGGGTCCGCGGGCCGCGGGCCAGGGGTCGAGAGGCAGACCCTGCGTCGCGGGGACCCTCGCAAGCGGGGTTCCGAAACCGCGCGTGGTGGCTTATAGCCGCCTTCCGATGGGGATGGTTTTTCGGGTGAGGAAAAACCCGCCTACCTGCCTCCCTTTCCCCTGCCTTTCTCCAGAGCGCCCGCATTCGCGGAGTGGGCCTGAAGCCTCCGGACGCTGCCGGGGGTGAGCAGGAGTGGAGGCCGTGGTCCCACGCGGGGGCGTGGCGCGGCGGCGCAGCACCCTCGGCCGGCGGGGTTGCGGTGGGGTATTCCGCGCGTGGGAGCCCCGGTCCTGCTCTGTGCAGAAGCCTTCCCTGGTGAAGTGGAAGCGACGTGGGAGTGTGCTGGTGTTCTTAGGGAAGATTGCAGTTACCACTATTTTGGTATTGAGTTTCAACTTCATCGTCTTTAGTGTGCATCCTTAAATCTCTTTTCTGTAACGTATTATCCGCGAATAGAGAAACACACACTTTGTGTGTTTTATTATGCCTTCCGGAGTTCGGTTTGTTTGGAGTAGGTTTCGAAGTTACTGCTACCGTTTATTTTTTTGTAACGAAGAGAGTAAGAGCGCCAGTTACAGGTGTTTGTTTGCAGGTTTATTGTATGTAGAAGCAGCAATAAGGTGCGTTTATGTGTTAAAAACATTTACCAACCACTTAAATTGACTCCCAATGGGGAAAAGGATTGAAGGGACGTAGGAATCAGTAGCATCTGAGCTTTCACTATAAAACACAACGTTATATGTCGTTCTACAGATTGAAATTAGTGTAGGTAGTGAAGACGAAAGATCATTCAGTAGGGTTATCCTAGGAAGAGCTTTGTAAACCGTAAAGTCTAAGCAGTTCACGTCTTGTTTTATTGATCACATTGATCAGTACAGTGGCCTAAGTGTCCACTAGATGGTGGGTGAAGTGAGTGACATTAATAATCTAAAATAATTTTTCCTATTAGATGATCTTTAAGTGCTTTGTCACAGAATTCAAGTAATCACAACATCCAACCCAGAAGGTGAGAAAGTCTCAGGACTAAAATGTAACACAAAATTGTAACTTACTGTTTGCTAGGCGGGCATAGAGGCACACGCCTGTGATTTCAGCACTCAGGAAGTTGAAGCTGAAGGATCACAACAAATTCAAGGCCAGCCTGAACTACATAGTGAATCCCTGCCCCACAAAAATAAAAAAGTTGTACTCTAGGCATTAGGGCAGGATACTCTTAGAGGAGTAAGGAATAGCCCTCTCAGTTCATTGGATTAAGATTTAAAAGCAGGAGTGGGACAGATAAATGAAAAGTAATTGCAGCAAGTGTGGAAAACCCAAATATTTTAATAAACTTTATGTCAGCTGGTGAATGTAGAATGAGGAAAATTATAATTCCACTCTTTGTAGGTCAGAGTACAAAACTAGAGTTTGATGTTGATCTCATCTCAAACTCAATTGTGCATGAAAGTGTTTAAGCTAGAGCATATTCATTGCCAAAAGAAACCACAAGCAATACAAAAGTACAAATTACAGTTGTCCTCTACATTTTCAAGGAAGCTATTATGGCCCGTGTGATATAATCCTAGACCAGGGTTTCTCAGTCTCTCATTCACCAATGAGTGAATTATGCTGGCTAATTCTTCCTTTTTTGTGAACGAAGGGACTCTTATGTACTGTAAGTTGTTTAGTATCATTCCTGGCTTCTGCTCATTGCATGTAGCAGCACCTACCTAGATGTAACAACCACAGTGTCTCTAGACATTTTTGAATATACCTTTGGGACAAAGTTGTTGCAGTTGAGAACCACCTCTCAGTGTTTGTGGACCTGACTTAATGATTTTTCCCTTTTAATTGGAATATATTTGGGAATTATAATAAATGCATTCTTCATGGCGAATTCATTCATACACGCTTTGCCTCTTGAGCTTTTTTATTCCTCCCTTTCCCTCCCTCTTGTGAAGCCATAGTATTTATTTGATCTTGCTTTACCAAATTTTTGAATTAACATTCCTTTTGACCTGAAGTTTCTCATTTAAAGATTTGGTCTATACATGTGTATTTTATGTCTTTATCTTATGTAAGACTGTTTATTGCCACTGTGGAAAATAAACGTCCATCATTAGACAGCTAAATGTCTGCAGTTGTCAAAGGCAAGTTATGATGCAGTCATGTAGTGGGTTAATTTACAGTTGTTAAAAAAGATAAACTAAATCTGTATAGTTAACAAGGAAACATATGTATATATAAGTCAGAAGAGCACGTCAATAAAACATGACCCAGCCACAAAGAAAGGATACTTTTAAAACGTCTGAAAGAGAGATAATGGGGGGGGGGGGGAGTCTGGAAGAGTGTCAACAGTGATTGTCCTTTTGGGATTAGATTACAGTTGATTGGTTGGCTGGTTGATTGTTTCTGAAGTACCAGGGATGGAATCCAAGGCTTTTGCACTGAGCTGTGTCTCCAGTCCCCTCCTTTTAGGCTGCTTGAGACAGTTGTTTAACTGTAATGCCATGCATTGCCTTCCACTTATTTTGACATACCATTTCCCATGGATCTTCAAGCCAACATAAGTATTCAGTTGGCCATTGGAGTATACACCTGCGCGATACTTCACGTCTTTCACTAAGAAACACTGAAGAGTGAAGACCTAATTCAACTAACTAGTTACAGCAAGAACCTGTTCCAAGTATTTGTTTCCCTAAGGTAAGAGCACCACACACTGCTGAATTAAAAAGACTATCCCTACAATTCAGGATGCTTTTTTATTTATAAGCACTGCCTAGTACACCTTAGCCACTAATTAGGTGCTAGGTAGAAGGAGCTACATTCCCAGTTATGCAATTTAGGCTTCTGCCCGTTGGTTCTCCCAAAGTTGCTTCTCTGGGTGGGGCAGGCGGTGCTTCATTTGAACCCAGGTACCTTTCTCTTTGGCTTCCTTTTTCTGATCATTTTCCTTCACACATTTCAGGAAGCTTCTTTGACTCTTTTAAGTTCTTAATATGCTCAGTACACACATTAATTCTCTCGACAAGTATCTTGCCCTTGTTTGTGGATGGCAATGCCAGCGGCATGTGGGTACCATCGTAGACTCCAGTTTTGCCGCGCTTGCCTTTGTGTGGCATTCCTTTTTGAACATTACCCATTCCATTGGCGTCTGCAATATCACCCTTTTTGTAGATTCGCGTATCTGTAGCTAATGGGTTTTTTGTTTGTTTGTTGTTTTGGGTGAAGGTTGTTTGTTTGTTTTTGAGACAAGGTCTTAATATGTAATTCACGCTGGTGTTGAACTCAGGCTGGCCTCAAATTCAGTGATCCTCCTGCCTCAGCCTCTCAGTTCTGGGATTATAGGGATTTGTCACTGCACCCAGGCTCCATGTTTTCTAGAGAGCCTGGAGAACATATAGAAGTTTTTCTCTTTATGTTTGCTGTCATCATTTTGGCAAAGTATTAGAAGATGGCAGTTGTGACAGGGAAAATAAAAGCCCCAGCCCTTTTTAAATTTTTATTTTGAATCAGGGTCTCCCTGAGTTGCCCAGGCCACACTCAAATTTTCCATCATCCCACCTCAGCTTAGCATCAGCTGGGATTATAAGCGTATACCACCACAGGGCCTTGGGGATTAGATTTCGAACACCAAATGAAAAAATATGCATCAAAAAAGATTACGTGGTTATAGGTAAAATAGGACATAGAGTATCTTTTACTTTAAAATATCTGCAACTTTAAGACCAGGCATAGTGGCACACTCCTGTAGTCCCAGCATTCAGGACTCTGAAACAGGAAAAATTGCCATGAGTTCAAGGCTAACCTGAATCCATAGTGAGATCTTGTCTCAAAAAAAAAAAAAGACTACGACTTTATAGTACCTCAAAGAATTATCCAAAACATATGAAGAACTCAAAACGGTCAGTCCTCCTAGATTTAAAGATCCAATCCAAAAATGGCCATCTAAGATGAGTACATACTTCTCAGATATAGAAATACAAACAGCAAATAAATATATGAAAAAATGTTCAGCATCACTGGTCATTCAAGAAATGCAGATTAAAACAACAACAAATTAAATCAAGCAATAATAAATGATAGAACCAGCTGTCGAGAAAAAGGAACCCTTCTCTACTGTTGGTAGGAATGCAGACTGGTGTAACCACTGTGGAAATGAGTGTGGAGTCAAAAAACTAGGACTAAAGGTCCCATTTGACCCAGCTGTTCCCCTTCTGGGTATCTTCCCAAAAGAAGTAAAAGCATCATATCACACCGATGTATGTGAATTCATGTTTATAACAATAGAATTTGTAATAGCTAGATCTTGGAAACAATGCTCATCAACTGAGGAGCGGTTAAAGAAGATACAGTATTTTTATACAATGGAGTAGTACTCAGCCATCAAGAAGAATAAACTAGAAACTTTTATAGGTAAATGGATACAACAAAACCATATTCATAAGTGAAATAAAAGAGACACGTGTAGATATTGTATCACTAGTGTGAGAAGCTGAATGAAGCAACATATGCATATGTGGGTAAACATATGTATGTGTGTGTATATAAAAATACCAGCTACGACTGATTTCTCTGAATTAATTGAAGAGAAAGGTTTGTGCTGTATTGTTTGGCAAATTGAATGCAGGTGTCTTGTATTCTGGGTGAGTGATACTGATACAGGGGAATGAAACTCCCAACCTACTATGTGTCTGGTATGAGTTTGTGTTCTCTAAAATCAAAGAGTGAATTTTAGGAACAATGGAGGTTAAGAGCAGAAATATTTATTGAGAGAAAAAAAGCTTTTGTC